GGTAATTTCAATGACAATTGTGTCTCTGAATTTTTGCAAGCAAATTAGTTAATTAAGAAAACTAATTAAGGACTGGATCTACAATGAATTGTGCTATATAGTTAAAAAGAGATTTTGTTTTTGTGCATAACCAACAATTATCAAATCATCTGTTTGTATATTTAAGGTCAAAGGGGCCCTTTTCTGTATTGAATACGTCTACCTTGATTACTTGCAGTACAGTTTTTGAACACTTATTTCCTGGGAGGTGTTAGTACTTGTACATACGCAAAAGACATGAATACTTCCTTTCCCACAACACACAGGCGTATACGTGATGACTCATTATTACTTCATTGTCTGTTTCTTTCTCTTAAGATAAAATCAGACATTGTGATGTGAAAAATCATCAGCAGACAATGAGCAGCCTCTTCCAGACATGCTTATATTTTTTTAGTAGCATATATTTTGAACTACTTGATTACATCATAGCCATACTGAGAGTCTTTGTAGTGCCGTAGAACTAGTAAAGGCAGCCTGTGGTAGTCAACAGTAGTGATCTCACTCATTGAGAAATGTTAGAAAGAACCTTTATGTGGTTAAACTATATTATCAGCACATGTCAAATAGGAGCAGCAACATGGGAGAATTTCTTATATTTAACCTTTATTTAAACTCAGAAAGACATTGAGGTAGAGACCTCATTTATGCCAAGATAAAACAAATGAACAAAACATTTCAAGGGACTGTGAAACACCAAAGAAGGAGCAAATATTTAAACAGTAAAACATGGAAAGAAAAAAAGTCAGATTAATAAAATTGTGAAAGGAATAAATAATGCAAATGAAAAATTCAAAACAACTTAATCAGCTCGTTCACAGAGGGGAAGGAAGTGAAATAAGATTAAATTAAAGATTTCAGATGCCCTAAAGATAAACAAATAAGGCAAGCTTTTGATTGATCAGCATTTCAGGTTAGGGGAGCTTAAAGAGAAAAAATGGATCAGTGAAAACAGAAGTGAAACATAGTCCAATCATTCAAGCTTGTTTGGGATGAGCCCAAGTTAAGACAGAAATAAAGTAGCATATGGGTGTAAAAAACAGTAAGGGCCTCATAAATAAATAAAACCCAGTCTGTCGTGCCTTACAGTAGGAGAGGGCCACCCAGCCATGGCATACAATTATAATTATCACTGGTTATAAATCTTAGTGTAGCACGATAAACAGTATCCAAGGGTTACAGAATCATAACTGAGGCATAATCCAGTACAGGCAGGAAAGTTGCCCCAATAAACACCCTTCTACAATGCATCAGAAACATGATTTACTCCTAATGCTTACATAGCTCTCATCCATCCAGATTCCACCACACTTGTATTCTATGACTCGTATTCAATTATATAATATTTATATTTAGTTTTGAGTGCAACTTGCAACTCAACAAAGTACTTCTGTAAAGAATTAACAGGAGAATGTCTCAGATCTGAAATATATCAAAAAATAGAATCATCAGCATAAAGGTGTTCATTATACCTGCTTGCTGATGAATTTAAGTATAGAGTGAACAGAACAGACCCCAGCATTGAGCCTTGAGGGACACCTTTTATTTTTTTACATATATTATGAAGTACTCTTAGAAGCAATATCTGACTGACTATATTGAATACCTTTGAAACATCATTATGAACAGCTGCAGTGTTTCTTTCTATTCAAAGATGAAATGACATTATTTAAATGAAGAGTGGCTCTAGTGCTCAGAAGAGAAAGATGTTTGATTGTTTTAGTGATTGCACTATTGGCAATAGTTTAGGTCAACTAAAAAAAAAATATATATATTTAATATAAAATAAAAAAAGTTTGATCTGACCAACCAAATTCTTTAGATCTTTTTTGGTCACTTCAGCAGAAGAGAATAGTTGTAATGTAAGACGAGGGGATTGGTGTTGGCTGGGTTTCAGGATTAATGACAAAAAGAAAGGGTACTGTATACATTTCGTCATCACATCCCCAGCAGATGTAAAATGTTTATTTAAAGCTGCACACGTCTGTTTATGGTCTGATAATGAACACCCATCAGCTGTGGCAAGAAAGAGGAGGAGGAAAGGAAAGGAAAGACTTGTTGTTGACAAAATTCGCTGCCTTCCAGAATTTTGCCAGAGCTGAATATGATTTGAGGATTAGAAACAAATCATAGTCAGATTCAGCCTTTCTTAATGTGGGCGTGCATTTGTTCCTAAGATGCCTAAAAGCAAGAGAGTGATTGGGATCCCCAGCATGCTTTTTGTCTTTCTTTACAGAGGGATGAAATTTCTGCTTAGAAACAAGGACTTGACCTATTTTAATATCTATGTTCATTCAAAAGGGTGCCCTCTTCTCAACGCCTTCATGGTCACATTTACGTAGTGTCTGGGTTAAGTTGTTGTATTATCCAAAGTTATGAAAACAAAAGTTTTAAGCTCGCAAAATAATTATTTTTGATCATGACAAACAGAAATTTCCAGTACAGTCTGCTGAAAATGTATGCAAATGTTTTATTTACTTGTATGCAAATCATGTGGTGATGCTGGTAAAACCTGATAAAATAGTCTACACCGCATTATAAATGATCCGTTGTGAGCCATTCTAAGATACTGCGTACCACCATGCCTGAAGACATAAGCCAGGGTTCAAAATATTAAATGGAAAGTATGGGGAGAATGCATACACACAGAGACACGTGGGCGCCTTTTGCCTATAAACAACCTTAAACACACATACATTTCCTGTGACACACAATCCTCCTTTTCACCGCTTGCCCAGTGTGTGTGTGTGTGTGTGTGTGTGTGTGTGTGTGTGTGTGTGTGTGTGTGTGTGAGCGTGCGGAAAGAGTGAAGTTAGACTATGTGGCAGGCTACACCAGGTACATTCATTTAAATTCACAGAAGGGATCCTAGAGGAAACCTGAATATGATCGTGTTGTGACACGTTGTACAGTCTCCAAACACACAACACAAAACAAAGCAGGGGACATTACGTCACACCTCTTAAGTTTCTTTGTTGAGACACGTTAGAGCCAACATGCACATTTTGATTGTCGTGTATTTTGCTGAATCTTACAGGACACATTATGAAAGTCTCTCCACTTAAAAGCAGAGTGTATTCTGTTCAAAACTGCTCCAGACTGTCAGCTATCAAATCAGTGGATAAAATAAAAGTCTTCACCTTGTGTTTCCTGTTATGCAAGTCAGGCATGGCATCTGTGGTATTTCGGCATGTTTGAAATTGTATGATAAACTTGTTTTTTATTTATTTAATGCCTTTAAGCTTGAGTTCAGCATGTTACCATTCCAGTAGACATTTAAAGGTCCAGTGTGTAAGATTCAGGTGAAAGGAATCTATTGGCAGGAATTAAATATTAAATAATCCTAGTTATGTTTTCACTAGTTTGTTTCATCTAAATTGGACAAATTGTTGTTTTCTTAAAACTACAATGCACCCTTTATATTGAAATACTTTATATTTACATTGGGGGCGGGTCCTCTCTACAGAGGTCGCCATTTTTTTTAAACAGACAAACAAAACACCTTTTGAATGTATATGACAACTGAAGCTACCACAGGATCTCTTTCATGTTTGGAAGGAAAGGGTAGGGTGGGGGGTGTTCAGCTGCAACATGCAACTTCATCACTAAATTCTATCCTTATACCAACATTACATTTAGCATGATTGGAACTTGAGGGCTCCATCTTTTAGCAGGAAAAATATATTGATTAATTAGTTGAATTGCAGAAAACTAATCAGCAACTATTTTAAAAATCAAACAATGACTGTAGTCCATTTTCAATTAAAGCTTCGAAACAATTTCTGGTTGGAACATGAGGATTTTCAGTGGACATAGAGAGTGGTTTAAAGATACATCATTTTTCTTTAAGAAGTGATTGTGAAAATATAGATTTTTGTATCCAGACTTCTTAAATTAAATTAATGTGTAAAATAATCTGCATTCATTAAATGTGAATGTAGCTACAGTTCTACATATTTCAATCAGACAAGACAACAGGGAACAAAGTTGATGGCACCACTTTTGAAGTCTTCAAAATAAACAATGTTTTTTATTTCAAACTAAATAATGGAAATCCATAACAATTCATTTCTGAGGTACAGTATCGCACATTTATAGGCTACATAAAAACACAATGCTACAACTTGGAACAGTTTGACCTGGTATGCTAGTCACAACAGTACAATATATTTTGGATCCACAGAGGGAAAAGCCATTACCATTCCTCTAAAATTTAAAGGACACAACTTACCAATGTAACATCTTGACTAATTTACGTCAGAAAAGCTGGAGGATGAAAGAGCCATTTCATCGCCTCCCTACTGCCGCACATCCCCCCAGACACTGCCCATCCCTCCTAAAATAACCTGCTTTACAGACTTCTGAACATTTCACTAGGCTGATGATTTGAGGCCTGCAATATCGACGGAAATGGAACGGCAT